TGTTTGGGTGTAAGAGGTTAATAGCTGACTGGTTTGCTTACATTCATAAACAACAGCCAGCCTGGGCTTTTTGCTTTTGTTTCAGTTTTCTAGCAACTAAACTTTTATTTCTGGAAACTATTTTATCATTTTAGGTTTGAAGATCATGACAACTTGAAAAATAAAAGAGCTTGAAATCATGTGGAGAAAAATAATATGAAGATTTGAGATAAATCAAAGTGTTCTCCTTTAAAAACAGAATCATTCTTACATCAGTGATAAAGACTTTACGGTTGTCATGACTGTAGATATGAACAGTAACATCATACTCAATCCCCACTTGTAACACCCAGTCTGGATGTGGCACAATACTGAAACCTAAAAAAATAGCAAACAAAATTATTTTAAGTTGATGTGTCTTTCTTAGCAGTTACGACAATAAATTAATGTTGAATTAAATGTTATCAATATATATAAGGTGTATGGTCAAGTAATTGAACAAAGATTCAAACAATTGTATTGCCACAAATGTTCATGTACAACCCTGCAAGTCTTCATCAAGTATCTAGTGACAAGTGCTATGGTAGCTGAACAGGGGATCTTCCATTGATACATGTAGCTTAATTCTTTGTCTCCTATGGGTGTCCACGACAGAATTATAATTGCTTTACAATATCAAGTAGATAAGTATTGACATAATGTAAGTTAGGATTTGTTTCGGATAGTCCCCAAAAGCAGTATTGTAAATTCCTCATCTGGTCATAAACATCACACCCATTTGTCACAAATAAACTGTTTGTTTAAAAAAGACAATGCTGTCATTTTCTGATATTACTATTGTTATGGATCATTTCTTTAAAAACATATACCTAACAAAGCTGCATCCACAACATGAACTCCAACAGCTGGTTGATGTACAGCCTGCATGAGAAGCATATCTGCAGGGCTAGTAAAGGGGGCTCAACCAAAGGTTAACCATGTAAAAAACTAAAACAATACATAACGGATTACAGGATTGACACAAATATTCACTGCACTTCAAAAAAAAAATTAGCCTAACTCTGTGTCTCTATTTCTGTAAATGTACCAGGGATTCATATTCAACTATATGTATTTAGTTGCCTGGAAATCATCCATGGCTTGCCAGAAATAAAATTTTAGTTATTAGAAAAAAATATAGGTAACAAGTTATTGCTCAATACTTATCACAGTGTACATGAGGCAACCAGAATAATGGGGGGATTTTTCTTGTGGAAAATGGTGCAGCACTAACTTTTACTGAATGTAATCCTTTGATGAAATAATGAAATAAAAGAAGATGAGAGAATGAATGAATGATTAAATGAATAAATGAATGAATGAAAGAATGAAAGAATGAAAGAATGAAAGAATGAAAGAATGAATAAATAAATGAATGAAAGAATGAATGAATGAATGGATAAATAAATGAATGAAAGTATGAATGGATTAATTTCTGAATTAATGAAAGTATGAATAATTGAATAAAAGAATGAATAAAGAATGAATAAATAAATGAATGAATAAGTGATGAATAAGTGAATGAATAAATGAATGAATGAATGAATGAATGAAAGGAGGAAGGAATGAATGAATGAATAAATGAATGAAATAAATGATGACATGATGAAGAGCTTACTGCTACTGCATGTATGTTCCCAAATCATTGATTGCAAAATTGGGGACTTTGTGTGACCAAAATGGGGGCAGCTGGCAGCACTGTATGCTGTAAAAGGATACTTTTATCAACAAGAGTAACTTTGGTGTAACCAATCTTGACACCAAGCACACTTGATTTCTTGACATTCAGATGGCCTACTGTGGTATTGCTCAGTTTAAATTCAAATTGTGATGACGGCATTGGTATCGCTGCATAGAAAAATGTAACCAACAGCAGTTACATTTATTTACAAGCTGCTTCAGGTAATTCTGGTCTATAACTCTAAGGATACATAGTCAAAAAAGTTATCTGAGTAAAAGTCAGGCAAATGTGTTGAGGTAGATTGCAGTTGGGTAAACTTGAAACAAACATGCTAGAAAGACTTGCTTAATAATTTTTATGATACTTCATCTTTCAATATGAATATCAACTTTGTAAAAAAATTTTGGTAAATTATACAAGATGAAATTTCTCAAACCTGTGGTCTTTCCTCTGTGCATTCTGTTAACACTATACGTGACAGATGTGTTAACCAGGATATACACATCATAGCCAGGTACTAACAACACATTATCTAAAACTAAAATTCTTGCTTCAGCTGGAGAAACATTCTGAAAAAAAGTAGTATTTTAAAGGTAATCAAATATATGTAATAATCTCATAAACAACACTGTCAGACAGACTATATATTTTGACCAATTTTAGCAGACAAAAAAAGTTTACTCTCTATACAAGAGCACAAAATAACTGCACAATTTGAGAAGCAACAACTGCAACCATTGCTTCTAAAGAATGGCTAGATAAGACAGTCACCAAATGACATTTCATTTTAGCCAAGAAATTACTGAAATTACAAATCCAAGGATGTGCATTTGCCTCTGTGGTAAATCTGGCAATTGATTGCTACATTTTGTAGGCATTACTAGCAGAAAAATATTATTTTGCGCAACACGTAGTCAAATTGTGCACGTTCAAAGTTACTGTCACATTTTGTTCCACATGATTTCACACAAACCCAAATTACAATAATCATTGTGCAAAACAATAGTTCCTTTCACTTCATGCATGATAAACTGCATGGATATTGCAAAAATAAGCATTGAACACGGAAATTTTCCTTGAGATGATCAATGTCTGATTTATTTCAGCGTTTCGATGGATTTGGAAAGTGTAGTGCGTTTATCTTTATTTCAAACAAAGATTCTTTCTATATGCAAATTTCTGGTAAGCCAACTTTGTTTGTGGTGTTTATTGATCGCTGTGATTAGTGATTTGCATTTACTTTAGGAAGATTTGGTGAGAACTGAGCTTATAATGATTTCATATTTAGACTTATTTATTTTGATGCTTTCGAATGAAGTTCTAAGTGGTTTTAAAATATCCAAAGAAGCACAATTGCCATTTTGAAAAAATAACACAAGCTCACCACTAAAAATAGCAGCACACTCTGTCTCTGTCAATATGTCTATGTATCATTTGTGACTGTTAATTATAGTACAGTAACTATAAGACACTTTTCACCATCCCATTTTGAAACAAGATGATACATCATGACAGATATGTACACAATGTCTAAGGTGCTTCAACAACGTGGCATGTACACAACTTACAGCAAATGATGTATCCTTGAGCATTGCTTTGACAATTGCTGTTCCAGTGTTGATGGGTTCTATTACAATGGAACCTCCACGTGAACCCTGGACAGCGACACAACAGAAAACATAAAAATTGTAACAACCAAGAAGGTAATCATGAACTAGAATGTAAACTTCCAGAAGGATAACTGGTTAGAACTAACCCTCAAGCACAGGAAAGAGAATATTATAGTAACATTAAAATACAAGATAATCTTCAAGCAAGTCAGTTGTTATTATTCTGTATGTGACCATGAAATGAGACTTTCGTTCTCATGCAAGTTACCAGTAGCTGTCTAAAATCACATTTTTTTAAACTGCTTTGATTATGTTCAATTTCGTATCCATCTACTCGGCTTTAAAACTTGTCTTTTGACGAGAGTTTTCCAAACCCATTTCATTTATAGTTTCCTTGGTTACATACTGATGATGTTAACCAGACAAAGAAAAATCAAATCAAATTGCTTCAAAACCATAACTTACAAGAGTAAAGCATATGAAAGAAAAAGAGTATTTTGTTACACTACCTTTGCTTCTAAAGAATATATCTCTGGTGAAGTTTCATAACTTGAAAACGAAAACTGCATAAATCTACCAGGCAAGCAAACAATAGAGTGTAAGTGAAAAATGAAATACTGAAAATCAATTATCTCTTTAACTCCCAGAAGTGATTAACATGAAACTTCTCCCTATAATATCCATAC